CACGGAGACCATGACAGTTGAGGCTTCATAAAGTCACAATGGTTAGTTTTTTTCCCACCGATGCACATTTATTTGCACTTTGCTCAGATGCATTTAGAAAAGTAACAGAGCCGTGAAAGTGCAGCATCAAGAATTAAATACAGTGTGACTGAATATTTAAAAAAAACAACTAAATATTTTAATGAGGAAGATTATAAGAAATCAGATTTTCTCAAACGATGATGTCCGTTCAGTTTTAAAGTGTGGTTGAGGATGTCATCACGTGGAAATCAGTGCTGACATCTTGTGCCGGTGGTTTGTTAGTCTTTACAGTGGGAACACTAACCCTGCACCCAGTTCAGATCTTGATACCAAGCTAAGAGCACAACCAGCCTAGTCAAAATATTTGACGTGTATCAAACTGAATAACTTGGTCACAAATCGGTTTTCTTTAAAATCACAAGAATACAGCGAGCGTCCGAATCGGTAAATCTGTTGACAGCTACATGTTCAAGTTTAAAGGTTGTGCCCTCATATGCATATCAGGCAGGGAACCGGCTCCCCTCTTACTATTATGCAGCCGCCTTGGCTTTTACTTTTGTGTAATAGGAAGGAGCAGCATCAGCCATCTTTATATACAGTCTATGTAAACATCCAACAGCAGCAAACTGGAATGCAGCCGTCAAACCAGAATGCTTCTCCTGAAGTCTCCACAACTGATCCGTGTGCTGCAGAAAGATATTTATTTCAGTTGGACTTTATTCATTTTATTTTCTGTTTGTTTTTAATGATGCTCTGTCCAACATTTCCAATCAGTAAAGTATGATGAAATACATTTGTCATGTTGTTATGACATGTAGCATTGGACATGATGGATAAGTCCTACTGCTTCAGTTTAGTTTTTGGTTATTTGAACGCTTTGGTCAGTTATGCTCAGAAGCATCCGTGTTTAACGTTATGTTGGAGCTGCCTGCAGGCTGATCACGATGTTGGCATCCTTCCCTGTAGCGCAGGAGAACAAAACAAGTACCAGAGGTGCAGCGTTATCGCTTGTAGCAGCATCGCGCTGTAGTTTTGTTTTTGAGCATTCTCTACAAATTTTCATCTCTACCTGCATTTAGAGGGGAGGGGAAGGCAAGCAGAAAAGACTTCAAGCAGATCTCGTGTAATTTCCACTGCAAATACGGCAAACATGGGAGGTGGGTCACGAGTGACGGTGTATGTGACGGCCGTTTGACGAGGACTGAGTCCAGACGGTGCCGTGAAGAGCCCTGCTCCCTGTCCACTCCCACCCACACCACCTCTATTGCCGTGTTGTTGATTGTGGTAAATGCTAGTGCCTTTGCTGTATTGTGAAACTGGATATTGATTGTACTGTTGTACCGACAGGGCCTGGGGATAGTCAGGCGCTCTATTTATTATTGTTGACTCAAATCGATCATATTTTTCTATGTAAGTGCTTTAAATAAATTTGCCCTTTTTATCACTTGGTCTGTATTTAGTTTTTCAGCATTCTTGACAAACACGACTCCGCTCTGCGTGAGGATGCACATACTCCTCAAGCTCGCTAAAGTAGCATTAAATGAACAAACGCTGCAGCATTTGGATCCAAGGATGTCTTGGGATCTCCAGGAATTCAGAATATTTGCCAAGGTCAGTGGTTTTAAGCCGGCTGAATCTTCCATGTGTGTAATTGGCCTAGTGAAAATTCCAAATACAAACCAAATTGTTTTGGATGAATAGGTCCCCTGATGGCTCTCATCCCTTTTAATGCAAATTACTATACAGTAATTGGATTCAGAACTTTGCCTGCAGTTTGTTCAGAAGTGAATCATTTCTTAACAAATTGGGGTGAGAGAGTAGAAAAGCAAATGAATACACATTTAGAAAAGCATTTATGTTTTCATTCATATGTGTGTGTGTGTGTGTGTGTGAAGCCAGAAATGGTGACAATACAAAATATTCTGAATATGAGGGAAAGAGTGGGCTGCAATGTGCCCCGGGGCATTTAAGCTTCTACAAATGCATCCAAAATATAGTAAAATGTAGCATAACATGGAAATACACATAGTTACATACGTGTAGTATGCCCTTCTGCTTCTCTGCGTTACATCGTCAAATGCCGAGCAGGTCTTCATCTCATGATTAGCACATGACACATAGACGTAATATCGCTCAAGCTCCCATTTCACAGCAGGTGAACATCCACTTCACACCTCCAGTGTTCTTAGTAACAGCTTATCAGTTCTTAGTCAGCCTCCCTGCATGTAGGCTAACCAAGCCCATATGTGAGTGTAAGACATGCTGTCCAAGAACTTACTGGAAACCTCAAAGTACCTTTCATGCTTGTTTTTTACTGCAGTTATTTTAAAGCTTTTCAGTAAAATCACTGCATTAAAGTGATCTGTGACATTCCTCGAAGACAAGGGCAGAGCCTCTTTGATGGCATCCCGTATGCATCAGAGGGATTATATAGGGCGGTGACGTGTGCAAAGACTTCTGTATTAAAATCTATTTCACACAACAGCACAGAAGCACAAATTTAAACCCTTTTATTGCTGCTGTGCTTTTAGAATGTCAACAGGTAATCGGTTTGTATCCCATTTTTAATAAGTAGAGCTCACTTGGAAGAACTGAATATGATTCCCTTTGATAGACCCC